TGTGTCCAAGGAGAGCAAGTATACCTGTATAAGAATATGTATACTATATTATGTAGTTACATGCAAGCGATGCTGTTCCGTAGTATTTGAAAACTGTCATCGAATATGCGTTATTCATTCATCGGGGAATGTCTTTTATGTCTTCAAAATTCCAATTTGGGGTATTGTGTTGTGGCTGCCACGAAACGGCCGCCTGCAGACGCGTCTTTGCTACACATAATAATAATAATAATATATACTGTGCCGCGTGTGTGTGCATTATATAATAGGTGCACATATAGGTATGTATATATATAATATATATACATACATATTTTTATATTTATATGTATGTATATATTATGCTCATACATATCGATCCCGACAGGATATGTTAAGGCATTCTTCGTCATTGTGCTTAGGGGAATACGAATATAAATATGTATATCTATATATATATATGTACCAAAGCGTTCACATGACCATTGTGATGAATCCGATCTGCGTGCGTGCATTCCATTTGAATAGAATCGGAACGAAAATACCTTTTTTCCCTTTTGTCGCCATCGGCGTCCGAAAGACTCGTACACGCGGCGGCCATCACGGCGGCGTCGGCGGGAGCGGCAACGGTAGACTGAAGTGTAAGGGATATAATATAATATTTTATCCATAATACGAATAAGTATATAACTTATATGTATATATATATTGCACTTATAGGCTATAATATAATACCACCATATAACTCGTACAATTTTTTTTTTGCAAAATCTCCATGATTTTGGACCACCGAATATCCGAAGGGTATAATATTATAGTATAGACAACGTGCCAATGTCATTCACAATTTTACACCTGTTGAGAGTTTGTAAAGGTAGATTAGGTATATAATATTATGTATACAACAATAAAACATCAATTGTTGAACCGGCAATCGAAAGACCCAGAAATCTATCTAGCATTATAATATAGAAATGCATTGTAATGTTCCGTCAAAATAATATATTAATATATCTAAGCTCAGATTTATTTTAAGTCCACAATACTTATCTATAATAGTATGAAAGCGATATATGGCAGTACAATTTAAATTTTTAATATATTTTTTTAAATGTTATATCCTTACATGAATAGGTATTATACTTCCTATCTGGTATACCTAACTGAAAATGTGTACCTATTTTAGGGATGTATGAAAGTATAGTTGGTATGTTAGGCTGCAGCTACGTAAAGTGAAATAGTTTAACACGCAATTATGTATAACAGAAGTAAAATAGGTACTAAAATATTAATAAGGCAAAACGGTACATTTCAACCTGGCAACCAATATATAATATATTATACTAGGTACCTCATAAAGTAGATAGGTACTATTACATCGATCTATTCTCCATAATTTTAATTTTGAATATAATTTGAAATATCAAAATGCTTTAAACATTTAATATCGAAATAAAATAAACATTTAAACATAATTCATAAATACATAATCTAAATACAATTCAGAATCAGCACAGCTTAGGGCTCAAAAGATTGAGCGTGTCACTGCAATGGATGAAATTATGTGTTCAATTTGAATTCAATGATATAAATTAATGGTAGGTACACGAAAAACGATTCTGTGCGAAAACGGTCTGTTTTATCAGCCTATAATATTACTAAGTAGGTATATTTTATGATATTATAGTGATTATAGTAATTTATTTTATTACTAGCCATTAATACTAATAGTACTACAGTCTACTGCAGTAGGTTAAATTCATTTTCGTTGAAACATTGTACTTAAAAATGTCATGGTATGTATAAAATATAATAATTTACCTACCCTAAAAGTTTCAAGAATCCACGAAAAATGTTTTTTTTAATTACAAATAATTACTAGAATCGTTATTCTTGGTTTTAATAAGTAATTTTATGCACATTTGAACTTAAAATAACAATAATAAAAAAACTGTGATATTTTAGATTTTAAATTTTTTAGATTGGCTACAGAATGGACTACTTATGTAGGAACATGTTTCACACTTTCAATCCTTAGCCATAACAATAATTGAACATTTTTATAAATTTTTAACTACAACATAATTAGTACATTTTAAATTTGATAAATTTTGATAAAATCTGAACTTTAAATGGTTATGAAAAAATATCTTTATATATTTAATATTTTTCAACTCATATTGTAACAATATGATGTGAGGAGTCTTGTATTAATTTTTTAAGCTTCTGAACCCAACGAATACAATTTTATTGGTATTAAAAACAAAACAAAATTAAAATTGAAAATGACCTTAAACAGCTCAAAAGCGTGTTAAAATCATATAAAAGTTTTATCAAGTATAGAAAACAATAAAATAATTAAACATATAATGTAAATTTCAAGTATCGAAATAAGAATGTTACAGAATGAGCCCCACGAGAAATCGAGTAAATATCCAATGTTATTCAAATTTGAACTTCAAACGCTCATATAGAAATTTAATCTGACTTTCAAGTAAATATTTATTTTTTGATACAGGTAGACAAACTTATGAGAAATCCTGTATTACATTTTATTTTATTTTTTTTTTTTATGGATTTCTAAGTGAAAATAATTTGCATACTTTGTTGATTTATGCGAATTTCGTCAAAATTTGAACTTAGAGTTTCATAAAAAATTATTGTGGTTACACGCTCATCTTTCTTTTTAATTTCCTCCGAGAACAACTTACGAAACTTATATTAAATTTCAAGTCTTTTGACTGAGCAAAAATATTTTTATTTACCTAAATTTAAAAAAAAAACTTATAATAATAGAAAATGTTATAAATGTCTATAAAAAGCTTAAAGTGAGTAAAAATATTTTTGAAAATTCCAAAGTGCCTGTATAGGAAATGCTATTATAAACATTCACTGAAAATTTCATGTATTTACAGTAATTTTTTCTAGTGTTACACGTAAAACCAAAATTGATTTTGTGTTGAAATTCCAACTTTTTCTTAGTTTTTGTTTTTAGAAACTACTGGGAATTTTATATGCTGCATCGGAAGCATTAGTTTGGACTACTTATCTAATACACAGACACAACAAATAAAAAATAAATAAAAAAACTTACATCATTATAAAATCAATATATATATATACTTGCTCCGCCCAGAATCTAAAAAACATTAAGAAAATTGAAATTATTTCATGGCTATAAATAGCATAACTTTCAGGTAAACTTTTTTTGTGATGAAGATAGAAGAACTTAATGAAAATCTTCTATTAGAATTTCTTATGTTACTTATGGAAACAAAGTTTTTTTGAATTTCTAACCAAAAATATAATTTACAACATTTGAAACATTTTTCATGATTATAGACTATAAATAGCTCAAAAAGTGTCATAATCGTTTGAAAATTGATACTATAAATATTTGTAACACATTTTAAGTTTCTATGATTATTCGTTTTTGAATTACAACAAAATATCAAAAATTGATTAATGGGAATTCGTTAATTTTCAGCTGAATACCAAATATCATAAGCATTTTAAATTCAAAATGTCATAAGAAATTAATGTTTCTTTCCAGTCGAAAAGTTGTCTAACAATTACAACAGTATGGCATTTTTGTTCATTATTTTTAAAAAGATGATCAGCCACTTGAGCAAGTCATTGTAATAGACGTGTTATAAGCCTTGTAGGTATTTAAATTCAATGATAAATCATTGCATTCGAAAAACGATTCTGAAAGAAGACGATGTGCCATCCTAGCATAGTGGTATAAATAATCAAATTAAATAGTCAAAAAATAATTATACAAATCGAAAATATCTCAAGGCTCTAAATAACATAAACTCTTATTTTTTTCGATAGAGGTAGAAACGCTTGTAGGGAATCTTCTATTACAATTTCTAATGTTAGTTATGAAAAGAAAATTTTTTATGAATTTTTAATCCAGAAATAATTTTGCAAAATTTTCGTTATTTTGATGAATTTTAACAACATTTGAAATTTAAATACATATAAAAAATAACCGTGCCTATGTATCTCTAATACACTTTAACTGCTATTAAAGCATGTCATGAGGATCCTTGCATTAAATTATCAAGTTTTTTTTAAGTGAGAAAGTTTTCATGGACAATAATTAAAAATTTTTTTTACAAAATTCGAAAAACATATCTAGGTTATAAATAGCTCAAAATATTTTGAAATTGTCACCATATCACATGGAAATGTTAATATAAATTTTACATTGAAAATTTCAAGTGTCCATTAACTTTTTGGGTTACACCAAATTTTTCAAATATTAGTTTAGCGAAAAAATTACCATTTTGTTTGTTTTGTTTTACTCGACGCTTTTGAAAACTACTCGAAATTTTCAATTTTGACCTCTCAAATGTATCAATTAGATTCGCTTTTCTATGAGAAAAGATGTCGATGTCGAAATAATCACTTTTCTACCCTGTTACTTACTTTCTGTTGATGACAAAAAAAAAACCACACATAATTGTAAATACAATACACTTATTGTTATGCTCAGAATCTAAAAATTTAATTTTTTGATTTTTAGGCTATGATTGTTATAATTATTATATGCTTAATAATTATTAATTACTAAAAATTGTATGTTGATTTTGTAAATCATATTATTGAAGATCGAAAATTGTATAGTGATAATATATTTTTCATACATAGATTATACCTATTTCACACTAAATAAGATTGCCCACGTACAAGTAATTTTAACTTTTAATAAAGGTTTAAGGTACCCAATTAAATTTTAGATGAATAGTGAAGACATTAATATTAGCTGGTGACTACTGTTTTCAGTCTTGAGAGGTACATATCGGTCTTATTATTATAATCTGTAATACAATTAACTACCTACAGTAAAGTCAAACGTAATATATTATAATTATTAATGGTAAACAAAATCGTAAATAATAGCAACTAGGGTATTTAAATTTTTTTAACCTTGGTTTATATATTCTAATAAAAAAAATATGGCACCTTAAAACTATTATTCAGTTTTTATTGTATGAAGATTGACTTATATATTTTGCCCTTGAAACTAAATATTTTTTTTATTTAACATTCTCAAAATTGTTAGTAAATTCCATTGCATATTTAATACACATATTATAATATATAAACATATTTTTTATATAATTTATAAATCGTCAATAAGTATATAATATATAAACCCATTGATACATACATTTGTAAATGCAAATATATTTAAATTCATTATCATTATTGTATAGATATCACGATTATCTTCTCATGTAGATAACTGTGATAGGTACACTAATGTTAAATAATAAATAAACAAACAAATTAAAAACACAATATTAGTGAAACATACATTTTTACAAATGAGTAATTAAATTGTAACATTATTGAACAGTCTTCAGATAGGTATTAAACATTTCAACACTAGTCTTAGCAAGATTAATACAAAATTCTGAATCATCTCCTGAAACTAATTTTGAAAGTGGTACATAATTGGGCTTTGTTGGGTCATATTGTGCTCGGTTTAAATATTTCAGATATTCATGTCTCTGTTTGGTTCTAAATAAACGACTGGTCATAACTTGAGGTTCAAGAACAATGCGGTCGTGATTTATGTCCATAGTATGATGTATGTAGTTGAACCGTTGTAATAAATGATTTTTTGACATAGTAAATAATCTAGGGTGGATTTGTAAAAGTCTTTTTCTTTCACTTTTATTAAAACCCATTTCTTCAATCAATGAAAACATTATTAAATTTACCGATTTTTTTGGCCAAGTAATCAATTTTGGTAATTTAGTAACTATACTACGGATATTATCACCAGAAAGAAAAAAGTTAGTTTGAAAAAATCCAAGACTGGTATCAATGTCAACTGTACTTTGAGATAACCATTTTGGGTGTTTTCGAATTATAGTAGTTATCATTTCTTTATTAAATTTTTTATGTTCTAAATAATTAATTCGGGTTATTAAATCATCCATATGTTCAGAAAATATCATAGGATTTTTTGTGAGAAATTTTCCCAATTCTTCAACAGGAACTCCGCAATCATGAATAAATCTTATGTACGGTTTCATATCACGTTCAAAATCTAATTTCAATATCGTTTCCATTACATTAGGTTTATTGTCAAATTTGTAAATTTCTACACCCAGTTTGACCAACTGTTGTAATGAATAGGAGTCATTTACATATGCAGCCAGATTAAATGTAGGGAGTAATGCTGGACTAATAGTAGAAAAATTAGTAACATTGGGTTCCAATGGAATATTGTTGTAGTCCTTAGGCCATTGAATTTGATTAGACTTGATTGTCTCTAAAGTATTATCAGAGCTACAAAAGCATCTGAAGAACTGTTTTTGTTTGTTAATTTTAAAAGACAGTACTCGTTTAAATAAAATCATAATGATATAATTGTTAAATGTAACTCGAATATTTGAATTCTTGCAACAATTTAAACTTTGTTCAAGTCTTGAAGTAAGATGAATTGATTTTTTCAACTGCCAATCTGTAAAAAAAAAAAATTATTTAACAATTGTATACAAATTTAACAATTTTTTTAGAGGTACATTCTTCTATCAAAATATTTTTTACTGATAATATTAAATCTTTTATTTAAGTTTAAACACAAGCAATATACCTACCATAAACCAATGTACCTATGTTTATGTACCATAAACCTACTTTAAGGGTTAATGTATTGATAGTATTGATATATATTATATACTCAGTCCACCGAAAGAATATAAGCGCATAGAAACTAAAATTAGTCAAAACCAGCAGGTAGTGTCTTCAACACTACCTGCTATAATAATCTCTAGATGAGAGAAAGGTCAAGACACACTGGTAATATTATTCGCAGGAAGTAGTCATATTTTCTTGGTAGACGGAGTATGGTTAAAGTGCATTGGAAATATAATTATAAAAAATAAAGATGTACAAGTTTACACCTAGTTATATTATGTAACATTAACAATTAAGACTGAAGCTATTGTTAATAGCTAAATCGGTACATCATATGTAGAAAGAGTGGTTTTTTTTATAGTTAAGTTTTAGAATGTAGTAGAGAATGGATAGAATTCTAAGAAGTGAGAAGATCATAACAATTTTAGAGGAAACAATATTTGAACTGACTTTCCTTATACTAGATATTTAATGCCATTATGTATAGAAGTATTAAATAAAGATGATCCATACTTAATGGTTAACAAAATGAAACTATGAGAAAAAAATAACTTTAAAACTTTAAGGGGCTAGAAAACAGAAATTAGCCATTATGAGTTTAATTATGCAATATGTGTTTTAAATATGGACGGTATGGAAATTGGTATAAAAATAATTTTAATCATTCACTGATTAACCTATATACATATGTTTAAATTAAACTATTAAAATAATAGAATAATAATTGTTCAATACTCTGTTTTAAAAAATAGGCATTTTCAATCCATAAGCTAGCATAAAATGTATATGTATAATCTTCCAACTTGACCAGCACCTTATGATTAACAATAATTATAATTTCTCTAATAATCATATTCATTATGTAATATTTGATCAAATTAATTTATTAATAAATAATATACATTTATTCTTACAAAAGTTTATTGAAAATGTCTAGCTTGCTTCCAATTAAAATTTCCGAGATTACAATCACCCGGAATTAGTTTATGGATTTAGAGTATAATTCAATGAAAAAAAAGTTAAATAAATTGAAAATAATTCAAAACTCTGAAAACTTAAAGCTTCAAATTCTGAATATCTGAACCTGAAGACAAATGATAATTATTAACATTTTGTATAAAGTTGAATATCAGCATATCACTGGAGTGATAAGGTCTATTGATACATTTTAGAATATTTAAGGTTATAGCATTATTATCTGTAATCTGTGGCATGTTTAAAAATTAATGCCCGCGTAAAATCTTTAATCATTTTTTTATCTACCATAATATTTATATTTTATATTTGATACCTACTTCAAATAATTTTAAAAAAATTAAATGAATATTTATTATTTAATATCACTCCAACACGCGAGGACAGTGAGTATAATTGTAAATGACAATTGACAAGTACATTAACTAAATAAATATAAATTAATTTGATAACATTTTAAGTTAGGAATGCTAATGAAAACTTTATTGTGGTCTCATTAGCCATAATTATTTTTCTATCATCAAATCAAACAGTAACAATTACATTTACTTATTTTTGGTCATTATAAAAAAAAAATGAAAAAGATTTTGTGTTCAAGCGATCAAGTGAATTTGAAATGCGTCCTACTTGGTGGACAAAGTTTCAGGTAAATGTTGGTGTTTTCACTATTTATTAGGTATTCAATTTGGTCCAATACCTACTTCAATATAAATATTCAATATACAGCTAACTTATAGTTTGTGATTATAAAAATTCTGTTGTCAAAATGAATAATGATTGATGTTTGATAAATTCAAGTTGTTTACATTTTGTCAATTTTTTTTCTCCAATTGTTAGATGGAAAGAAACTAATCCAGATGAATACTCAGGAGTATTTGCTGGTGGTTTTTGGGTTCTGAAACAAAATGATGATCACATAGCTTATAAACGAGTTCCAGCCACAGATTTGGATGAAAAAATGTTAAGTAATTATCTAAGAATGGATGAACCCTTGGATGCATACTATAAAGAATGGAGTTTATGTGATCCAATTTTTAAAAAATCAGCAGAACGGTTTAAAGGAATTAGAATGTTGAAACAAGAACCAGTTGAAAACATACTATCATTTATCTGTTCATCAAATAATAATATCACAAGGTAAATTAAATTACATACATTTTTTGTCTTTAATAATTTAAATAATATCATTATAGGATCTCATCTATGGTTGAAAAAATGTGCACGTTATATGGTGAAAAAATAGTTGGAACAACTTATTATGCTTTTCCTAATATTGAAACATTAATTGGGCCACAAGTTGAAGAAGATTTGAAAGTCGCAAAATTTGGATATAGAGCAAAATTTATACGACAAACTGCTGAAAAAATGTTTGAACTAGGTAGTAATAAATGGATTGATAAGCTAAGAAATATGAATTATGATAGTGCTAAAAAAGAATTGATGCTATTGCCAGGAGTTGGTCCCAAGGTAAAAAATTAATTATATTTTATAACTGATGATGGAAAGGCCAAGTAATATACCCACACTATTAACAAAATTGAGATTTTAACTTCTTATAATTAAGATATAATAAATATTTATACATATGTTGTATTCAAGTATCATAATCATTAAACTTACTGTATTTCATTTTTTATACTTACATTACTTGGTTTTTTCATCCCCGCCTAAAAAAATATATATATTTAATATTCATTTAAATAATATATTAAATTTATAGGTTGCAGATTGTATTTGTTTAATGTCACTTGAACACTTAGACGCTGTCCCTGTAGACACACATGTATTTCAAATTGCTCGTGATAATTACTTACCTCATTTGAAAAAATACAAAACAGTTACTCAGCCAGTTTATAATGAAATAGGAGATTGTTTTAGGAAGATATTTAAAAAGAATGCTGGATGGGCACATACTGTAAGAATTTTTTATTTTGTTTAAAGTAACTGGTAACATCACTAAAGTCTATAATGGATGGATATCAGAATATACATGCACTTTTGTGTTTATATGAGATATTTGAAATTTGTTTTTAGTTATTTCCAAACAATATTGTTATGTTATAGCAGAGGGTATCCTTTCCCCCCCGTGAATCTTAAAGGCACTGGACGTTTCCCCCCGACTCAATATACTTTATTTTTACACATAATAATAGGTTTGAAAATAGGTTCTAGGTTCTTTGGATTTACCCGAAATATACGATCATCATAATATTTGAAAATTTGTAAATAATCTAAAACAGAAACCTCCAATTCCGTCATCACTCCATCTTGGTAATATTGCCTCAAATACTCCAACTGAATCAGCTAACCTGTTTTCAACTCATTTCTCCTCGACGTTCAACTCCTCGGCTTTCCAACTTTCACCATTTACTGGCTCATCTAATTACTTATCCTATGAACTTCCTTCTGATATAACGTTTACTGTCGACGATGTTTTTTCCGCTCTTAAATCGTTAAAAAATACTTACTCTAATGGACCAGATGACATATCCGCTCAATGCTTGTACAATTGTCGTTTTTCTATTGCTTATCCAATTTATTTACTATTCAGGCGTTCATTAGATTTAGGTATTTTTCCTAAGGTTTGGAAAATATCATCTATAGCACCTGTTCTGAAATCTGGTGACGCTTCTGATATCCAAAACTACAGACCAATTTCTATAATACCACATATTGGTACACTATTTGAATCGATTGTATACTCCAGAATAAAGCGTAGTCTTAATCATCTTATTATAAGTGAGCAGCATGGTTTTAGATCGCATAAATCAACCGTATCAAGTAGTGTTGCCTTCTCTTCTTATTTATCTGAAGTTATCGAACACAGAGGGCAGATAGATGTAATCTTTACCGACTTTAACAAAGCATTTGACACAGTAGACCACGATTGCCTTATAATGGTGCTTTTAGTCTTTAGGCATTGGGAATCCCCTACTATCTTGGTTGCACTCTTACATCACAGGTAGAAAACAATTCATAAAAATCAAAAATGCTGTTTCTGAGTTAGCTGAGATACCATCTGGAGTCCCTCAAAGAGGACACCTTAGTCCTCTTTTATTTATTCTGTTTGTAAACTCAATAACCAAATGGATCACTAAGGCTAAACTCCTTCTTTTTGCTGATGACATAAAAATATTCCTTAAAATAGATAATCTTAATCAATGTTATATCATACAGTTAGAACTAGATATTTTTGCAAGTTGGGCGTACTCCATTGGTCTTAGCCTTAATATAAGCAAATGTCATGTTATGTCGTTTTCTAGGCAGCGATCTCCTATCCACCACAACTATTCTCTTAACGGCACTTCCCTTGACCGTGTCTTCCTCTATAAAGATCTTGGTATTCATTACTCACCATCATTAAATTTTGAGCACCATATAAATGTCACTGTTGGTAAAGCTTTAAAAGTATTGGGTTTTATTAAACGCAATACTAATCAGTTTTCTTCTGCTCGTTGTCTCTGCCCATTGTACTTCTCATTAGTACGTTCTATATTAGAATACGGTGTGGTGGTGTGGCATCCCTACCTAGCTAAAGACGAACTAAGACTCGAGCTTGTACAAAATAGATTTCTTTCCTACATTGCTTACATAATGAAGATACCTCGCCCTACGCATGACTATTCCTTAATTCGTAGTTCATTGGGAATACCAATGCTGTCAACTCGTCGACAAGATGCTGATGAGCGCTTTATAACCTCGCTCCTAGGTGGCACCATAGATGCACCCGATCTCCTCTCTAAAATATGTTTTCGTATCCCTTCCTTCTTCTCCAGAAATCACGCTCTCTTCCAAGTTCCAACTCACAATACATTATACGGACATAATCACCCCTTACACAGAATGCTTCGTAATCTGAACAATCTTAATTTTGATTTTAATGGGTAATTGAATAATATCATTGTTTTAAATATGTTGTATCATTGTTTTTATTACTAAATTAAGGTATTACCATTTAGTTCATATTATGTTGTGTTTTTCCATATGTTCTAATTTTGTGTGTATTTGTATTATTATATTATTGTTGTATCTATTAATTTTAAACTTAATCTGTTCAATTTAAAATTGCCGTTTGGCGTTTATATATTATAAATAAATAATATAATATCATTATATCATATCGCCATATCGGCATCTATCGATTATCATCATTCACGTTATTTATTTATTACCCAATTTAATGGGTAATGATTGATAAACCTACCTCAAATTATCTAAACTATTAACAACATTTTTTGCCTTTATGTCTCTTAGTAGTTAGTATAGTTCGTAACATTGCTAATCATCCATATATTTGGCTTTTTATTGAAGCTCTACAGATGAACAACTCAAGTGCATCAATCAAAATTTTAAATTATAGAGCAGGGCCTTTTCGTAATAATTTAGGTAAAGATGATAGGTTAAAAAAATGATGTGAAAGTTTTTCAAATAATGATATTTTAAATTTTTTAATTTCAGTGAGCTATCTTACCAGAATAAAAAAATAAAAATATACATATATACAATTATATTTATTATATTCATTATATTTATACATTAATTAAATCATTTGTACATTTATTTATTTGCATTGTATATTATTGTTGTTTAATATTTATTTTTTTTGTCCGGGGGGGAAATTGTCCCATCCGGGGGGAAACGTCCTAGATTCATAGCAGAGACATTATAAATCATAAAATATTTTCTAGTTTGTTGTTTAAAATTAAAAACTATAATTTTTAGGTATTATTCTTGGACGATTTGAAAAACTTTAAACAACTTGAAAAACAGGATGATTCATCTGATGGAAAACCTATTGCAAAGAAGAAAAAAAAGTTCTGATTTATTGTCCATCATACTGTTATTATATTTGTAACATACATAACTTACATAATTTGTACTCTTTGTTAAAATATATTTTTATTTATTGGATACAAATTACATTTAGTATGTTTTATTTATATATATATGTGTGTGTGTTAACTGCAAATGCTTGTTCTAAACTTTTTAGTTCAAAATATTTAAGAAAGTAACATACATATTTTTTAAAATTAAATTTAAATTAACTTTAAATTTTGGTATAAATAATAAAAGTATTAACATGGATAATATGATTAAAGAGTTATATAAATAAGTATTACTAACAATTGTGTTATTGTACAATATAATTTTTAGTTATACAATTTTAGCTTATAATTAATTGTATTAAAATATAATTTTTATCATCTGAACAAATATTTTTGTAATTAATCATGAAGTACCTAATCTAGTGCCAGTTATTTATGTGCTTGCAAATAATTGAGTAGATAGGTGATTAATGGAAACATCCATTTCATAGAACATCTAACTAGTGACACCAATATAAAGAGAGTATTGTAACTCGAAGAATACATTTTAAGTGTTTTATATATGTGTAATCATAGATTTCAAACTAATAATAGTTAGTACTCAAATATTTTTTTTAATTAATTCATAAGCAGCATCCAAACGTTTTCATTGTTTTGGTTCGTCTTAAATAAATTTTAGTTAAATGAAAATCTAATTATTAAGTTCTTATTAAGAATTATTGTGTTAATGTGTTCCGAGTTCCAACTAATTATTTTGTGAATGAGGAAAAACGTATTGTTAGGTAATTTTCTCGTTATTGTGTTGGCTACACTGATGTCTGACCAATTTTCCAATTGATTTTCCACCATTTTTCTACTCTTATCTCTGACCAAGTTATTTGAATCCTCTCGGCTCTCCCATTTTCTTATGACGTAATGTTATTAAATCTTCAGTGACTTTTAAAGATTATTGTTTTTCTTGCGGTGCGTAAAGGCTGTTTGTTTACAATTTGATTGATTCGTAGCGAATCAAACATGGCATTGAAAGCTGTTGTCGGACAAAGTAAGTCCTTATTTTTAATTACGTATTATACTGCATATTTGTAAATGGCTTTTTGTTTTATCTGATACATTTACTAATTGAATAATAAATTCGTTTTACAGAGATTATGAATGAGGTCATTAAACAGAAGGGCGTAAAAAAAGGGGCTGACAAAGGAATAGAATGGCGTGTTATGGTGGTTGACCAACTGGCAATGAGAATGATATCCGCCTGTTGTAAGATGCATGAAATATCCGCTGAAGGAATCACTAGTAAGCGTTAATTTTTCATTCATAACAATACTTACTCCCGATAACAATGCTACATCTATTTTTAAATCATTATTTGTTTTGTTAACTTGTTTTACAGTTGTTGAAGATTTGCAAAAAAAACGAGAGCCTTTGGCCACTTTGGAAGCCGTTTACTTGATTACTCCTAGTGAAAAGTCAGTCGCTGCTCTCATTAGAGATTTCTCCAGTCCAGGAAAATCTATGTATAAAGCTGCTCATGTTTACTTCACTGAGGGTAACTTTTTATATGACCATTTTCATTTTTTTACAATTTTAATTTGTTAGTTATATTTTTATCGTTATATATAGTAAATCAAAGACAATGTTTTAGGATATTATAATTCAATTTTATCCTAATTTTTAAATTTTTCTTCACCATTATAATTATAGCGTGTCCCGATGAGTTATTCAACAAGTTAAGTTTGTCCCCAGCCGCAAAATTCATTAAAACTTTAGTGGAAGTTAACATAGCTTTCATAGCATATGAACAACAGGTAACATTTATGAAGACTGTTAACTGCTAAGCTAATGGTGGAAGTTAACCTTTGGTTATTACTTAAGATTAACAAAAATAATATTTTTATACATATATTATATTTGTAAATAATCTTATTTATCGGATCTATTTAATTTTAATATTTTATTCTTTTGTGGAGGTATTGATCTATCTTAAACTTATTTTATACTTATGGCTTTGGTATTATATAAAATTATAATAATGTTTATTTATGGTGAAATATATGTATTTATAATTGTTGGCTGTGAACTAAAATATGTTGAATGACTTGTGCAAATACGGGAACACTAAACTCTAATCTTTATTTGCCATTAATAAATTACTTTTGTTTTGCTTAACATACTAATCTGGTATTGTTTTATTGCTTAATTTGACAAAAGTGTGTCAAGAAGAACTGTTTAATGAACTGTGTAAATCGATTGCTGCCAAAAAAATTAAAACACTCAGAGAGATTAACATCGCTTTTCTACCTTATGAGCGTCAGGTGTGTGTTTGCTTAACATTTAAGTAATTTTGCTTTGTTCTTCACTTTTGGTGTTAGTAACCCTGAATATTATTATTTTGGAATAATAGTTAATTTTGTTTTCTATATACATTCTTAGGTGTTTTCTTTAGATTCTCGTGAAACATTTCAATGTTATTATAATCCATTACTAGTGAGTAGTCGAGTTCCTAACATGGAACGCATAGCAGAACAGATTGCTACTGTTTGTGCTACATTAGGAGAATATCCATCAGTACGATATAGAAGTGACTTTGAACGTAATGCTGAATTAGCACAGATTGTTCAGCAAAAATTAGATGCTTACAAAGCTGATGAACCAACAATGGGTGAAGGTCCTGAAAAAGCTCGCTCACAGTTAATTATACTTGACAGAGGATTTGATTGTGTATCTCCTGTCTTACATGAGCTCACATTCCAAGCTATGTCTTATGATCTTCTGCCAATAGAAAATGATGTTTATAAGTAAGATAATTCTTGTATGGTTAAAATAATTTGCTCTTATTTGATATTTTTAATTAATTTTGTTTTAAAGATATGAAGCCACTGCAGGTGCAGCTCTTAAAGAAGTATTGTTGGATGAAAATGATGAGCTTTGGGTGGAGTTACGACATCAACATATTGCTGTTGTATCTACGTAAGCTTACACATTTAACTTCTCATTTGTTAAATATTGTTCTTTATTAATTGTATTTTATTTTGTGTTTTAGAAATGTGACAAAAAATTTAAAGAAATTCATAGATTCTAAGCGTATGTCAGCTGTTGGTGAGAGTAAATCTTCTATGCGTGATTTGTCGACAATGATTAAAAAAATGCCTCAATACCAAAAAGAATTAAGCAAATATTCCACTCATTTGCATTTGGCTGAAGATTGCATGAAATGCTATCAAGGTAATGTGGACAGACTTTGTAAAGTGGAACAAGATCTGGCTATGGGTACAGATGCTGAAGGCGAGAAGATCAAAGATCATATGAGATGCATTGTGCCAATACTGTTGGATCAGAATACATCTAGCAATGATAAGATGAGGATTATTATATTGTACGTTTTGTCTAAAAATGGAATATCTGAAGAGAATCTTAACAAACTGGTACAACATGCTCAATTATCACCAGCTGATAAACAAGCTATTGTAAATTTGAACTTGCTTGGTATAAATACTATTGTGGATGTAAGTACTATTGCTTGGTACTTACTAATTTTACTCTATGTGATTACTAATTTAAATATGTAACTAACACTTCTTTTTTAGGGTAACAGAAAGAAGCAGTACCAAATACCGCGTAAGGAACGCATTACTGAACAGACATACCAAATGTCTCGTTGGACACCCGTGATTAAAGATTTAATGGAAGACTGTATTGAAGACAAATTGGATGCTAAACATTTTCCTTTTCTAGCTGGTAGAGCTGCTTCATCTGGATACCATGCGCCAACTAGGTATGTATTTAATATTTGTTGTTTTACATTTTTTATAATTTATGTCTTATATCCCCTGCTGTTTAGTGTAAGTTAAATTCAAAGTCATTTCAAGAACTAATTTGTAATAAGTTTTTAAATTTAGTATACAGTGTAATCAACCTAGTTAAAAATATGCCATTTTCAAACTAAACATTTGTAGGTTTAAATGTAAATGTGTGGTAGTTAGTGATCAATAATGTATGTGACTATACGCAAATGAAATAGCAGAATGCTCCCTCAGAGTTCTGCGCTTGTGCAGTAAACAATTTATGCACTTTAGTATGTACTTTTTGACAATCCTACTGACAAACCTGATAACGCTATTAGACCTTTTAAAAACTGATTTGAATTGGTAAATGTGTCTACTAGAGATCCATCAGGCCACATATTAAAGTATTTAATTTAATTTTTGATAATCAACATTCAATTTTTCATAAATTTGAAATATTCAAACAAAATATATGGGAGTTTAGGAAATAAATTTTAAAAAGTAGCCTGATCGATCTCTAGTAGACTAGACATATTAACAAATTCATATCAGTATTCAGAAGTTTTATTGAGTTATTAGCGTAGGCTGATCCAGAAGTGTTGTTCAGTGTATGCAGAATCTAAATCGGCCCATCTCAATTAGGGGGACTTAGAGGGTTTATCCCTTAAATAACTAAAATGTTTTTGATGGTAACTTTATATTTAGTAATAACACAATCTACATACTTTAACACTATCAATCATGGTGTAGGATTATTTAAACTAAAATGTTGATTGAATGATTTTGCTAATTTTTTAGATAATTTTAGATTACATTTTTAGATATATATTATTTTTTTATCATCAGACCACTCATTAGCCACAGATATCAGATTATAATTTTTAATAAAGTTGTTAACACATTCATCAGGTTCGCCGTTATAAAATTTGGGTCTAAAGAAAATTGGTTTATACATGTTTAAAGTTTTGATTTGAGTGTTTATATTATTTGGGTTCACTAAATCAGTATTATTCTTTTTTGAAACCATTATAACAGATTACTTATATTCAAGATTAAAAGGTTTAGGTAAAAAATCTAGATCACTATCGTTATCGTCCTCAGTTTGATTTTTGTTTAATATAGATCTTAAGAAAAGTCTTAATTCTACTTTTTCGCTATTTGTTGAAAATTCAACACACAACAGTCTTAAAATTTGTATTAGATTGTCCTTAGATTATATATGACAAAGATACAAGGATTTTGGTTCAGAAAGTAATTTAATTTTTTTCTCTAAGGACTTCTGTGTAAATTCCTCTTTTGTATATTTATTTGGAAGTTCTAATGAGAAAAAGAATCCCAATGTTAAGTTCAGCAATTTGTTTAATATCACTAGGTAATTTTATATTCTTGCTATTAGAAAACGCTTCAGTGATATTTGAATACTTAACTGTTTCAGTATATGATTTACTTCGTTTGGTGTTAAACTGTAGACAACTATCCGATAGATAATCAATTTTCTGGTAGTTCTGTGGAAGTCATATTGATGTTAAAATATTTTAAATGCAACCAATACATTTTTGCTCAACTTAAATTAAAGCCAACTTTCAGGGCATTGGGGCATGCAGCTGAATCTCTTTGAGTCCTGTGGCTCTGCCTATGGTTATAAGGTTCGTCGGCTGCATTGACAACAATTATCACATTTTGATAGAAATTATTGACCATTTGAAAACTACTTAATAGTTAAATTTAGGTTTTTCAAAGAAGTTATCCTATTTAATTAATAAAAGTCACTGTGATATTTCAATGTGTATTCAAGAAATTATTTTGTAATCTAACAACCCAACTTCACAGTTAAACATTTGTTTTTTTTAGTGCACGATATGGACACTGGCATAAAGATAAGGGTCAACAGCTGATAAAGAATGTGCCCAGAGTAATAGTATTTGTGATTGGAGGAGTAAGTTTTTCTGAAATCAGGTGTGCATATGAAGTCACTAATAACTTCAAAAACTGGGAGGTTATAATAGGTAAGATTTTGATAACTATTAAATTATGATTTTATAATCTTATGTTAATGCTTCTAAACATTGTTATTTTTTTAAAGGCTCGTCACATGTTCTAACTCCAGAAGACTTCCTCAACAACTTGTCTGCGTTAAGTCAATAAATCTGTCCAATTCTTCCACTCATCACAGTGTTATGTTTTTCCAAAGTATTACTTATTGTAGCCTTATAAATCGTGATTTTTTAAATTTAGCATAGAGTTAAATACTAATAAAAAAAATCTAGTACTTATGGGTTTGTAAGAACTTGTCAGTATTTTCATTGTTTAAAAATCATTTCCTAAGTATTTTTAACGCAATTAATTCAGTCTTATTATCACCACAACGTATTATATCTATTTTATTATAAGTTATTATTTGTTATTTATTTAAATTAATAATTGAAAATTTTATTTGGTCATAAGTTAGTCATTTGAATAACTTTCATCATTATTGTTATAATTATATTTTACTTATTATAGTTTTAAAACAGTTTAAAATATACATATGTATGTTCTAGACATAATTATTTCTTTTAACGGACATTCCGCATTTATATAAACATTAACTTATTTATTGAATTTTATCACATTTTAACCATTATATTATTAATATAGATGATAGAATAATTTCTGTTATTTGGATTATTAAAAACATTAACAGATTATTTTACATTAATTAAATTTTGTTTTTTCTAATTTTACTTCCAGCTTTTACTAAAAAAGTTTTTATTATTGTCTGAACTATTGTTTTTTTTTAGTACCTACTTATTGAGCTTTTGAATGTGTATACATAAATAGCCTCAACATTTTAAAGAATTATAGATGTTTATAATGTAACCTTTTATTATTATAATATATTAATATATTATTACTATGGATTCTCTTATTTACGTCATTCATTGATGGAATTCGCATAAATGTCATAGAAATATTAACTTTCGGGAGCAAAATATTTTGTTCTTATCAATGTGTATTATATTGATTTTATTAATTTATCTATCTATAGAATCTATTTATTATTTAGGTACAACTTTTTTTAAATATAATATACATTTTTTTTTATTTAATAATAATTAAAATTTTAATTACAAATATTAATTATTTAAATTCTTCTGAAAATACTTCAATTCGAAATGATTTTAGAACTTGTATTAAATAAAAATGTAGTACTTTGTAGAATGCACACAATACATATATTTCTCAATTCTTAGTCAATATCTTAATATCTTCTAGTTAACCTGTTTTTTATTTTATTTTATTTAATCATCTTTTACAATCAGATTAGGAACTAGAAGATATTTTTTTTTTGCAATTGTATAATATTTAGTTGAAATGTTTGGAATAGTTGATTTTGTTCCTAAATTGTTTAATTTCATTAATTTATACAAAATAATAACGTCATTACTTTATTCAATTTTAAAATAAACCTATTTAGCAGAATCTAACTTCCTATTGCCATAAAGTAAAATGTATTCAAATTTAAAAGTATTTGAATACCTAGTACAGTCTTCAATAATGTATGTAGACAATTTAAAATTTAACAATTGGACCCAACTTAAATCTGTATTTTAATTTTAGTTTATTTCTTAAAATAGTTTCATATAATATTTAAGTATTAAAATGTAGGTCATTAATAATATTTGATGTGATACTGAATAGTATGTTTTTGTTCAAATTTAATATATATTATAATAGATAATATATATATTATATTGATTATAAATGTCCTGATGTTAAATTCGTATAAACTATTTTAATTACTAAACATATACTTTTATATATTTTAGTTTCAACTGTCATTTACTATTGTATATACTTAGATATATAATATTTCAACAAGTCCTAGCTGGCTAATTATTTAATTTGTCTTTTTATCGAGCCTAAATTTTATTTTAAAATAAAGATAGAATATTTAGAAAATGTATATTGTGTACAATTTTATGCTAATGTTGTTTAAAACTAGGTGTAATATTGATTCAAATAAATTTATGTTGAATGTTTAAATAATTGATGATATGTTTACAAAATCAAATTGCAAAGGTGTTGTATATTGAAAAGTTGTTCAAATCATGTTAAATAACTATTTTTTAAGGGCATTAGTCTATATCAGACATTTTGTATTATTGCTCTTTTGTTTTTTTTTAAATGTTGGACTCAATATAAAAAGTAAAATTGAGGAAGTCATTCTGCTATAAGCATTGATTATAAATAGTAGTATGGTAATATTTATAATCAATAATACTAGGTACCTAGTGTGCGGTGTATATCATCAAAGTAGGTCACCAAATACATGTCATAGGTAGGTATATTATTCAATAATTTATTATTGTAATATTATATTATATATTATTGTCGTTAATTAAATCCATACATTTATGACATTTTTTCTTGAACAAGAAAATAAATATTTACTTGCATAAATCGAAAAAAAACAAATAAATTTGACAATTTAAAATGCCTCTAAAGAGTTTCAATAGATCGGGAATACTTTGGACCTTGTATAGTTGTACCACAGAATAGATTAAATTATGTAGATAAATAATAATAATAATAAATTAATAATTAAAGAGATTTGATCTATTCTGTGGTTGTACCATATTATCTAGAAAGTGATAGTTTATTATATATTTTGTGAAAATGTCAAGTATCTACCGTTATTCAATTTTTGAATAACAACATAATAACAAAACAGTTTTTGTAGAAAACTGGTGTAGCAAAATATTAGTTTTTATTAATACCTATTGATAATTAATTATAAAGTAGAGAATATTTTTACCTCCGCTATCCGCCCCCCTCCTATTGGCTATTAAAGAAAACTCTAATAGAACCAATTTTCTATCAAAAACAATTTAACCCCTCTCAAGGTTAAATGATTTTAACTCATCCAAAGAGTGATGAGTGATGACAGACAAAAAAATAACCACACGGGTAGAGTAATACCAATAGTGCATTCATTTCTCCTCAGAATCTAAAAAAGATCTAAATACGATTATAATGATTTACACATTAGGTACTGTATCTTCTGTTATATTATTATATTAAACTTAATATTTCGAAATTAGTAGTAAAATCCGTTTTTCAATACAGCGGGGCGTAGTCCTATGACTTTTATTTATGCACAACAGTAGGTAGGTAATCATGATATGGCTTTTTATTTGTGTAAGTAGACGACGTAAGTGTAACTCGTTACCTTCAAAAAACCCTCCATAGATATAACAGTGTTTTGCAAGATTGTAGGAAATAGGTTCACTAAGTAATGTCAACTCTGTCCCGAAATTTAAAGTGTGGAGGATAAACTACCTACCTATTCAGTATTTTCTGAAGTACCTCCGATGGGAGGTCTCTTCATTCAGTCTCTTCTGTCTATTTTTTGTTTATGTTATTATCAATTAAGCTTATTGTTCAATATTGTAACAGATAGCGTAATAAATAAAATTTTGTTAAAAAAAAAAAAAAACCTATTCAGTATTCAGTTATTTTGGCTTAAAAAAAAGTCTTATATAATTACTTTTATAATTAGAGTAAAAAATATTCACGATTTGTACAGCTGTATAATTTTAAATAATACTTCTATGGATTAAAGTAATTATTTTAACTATTTAGTATAAGATCATAATTATTTTTTTAATTTTTTTAAGTAAATGCCTAATATGTTATTAGAGGTCTAGTCGAGGTCGAGCTTATAGGCGTGCCCAGACAATTTTGACAGGCCATTATTATCAAACCCTCAAAAGATACAATTTTAAATACATTTATTTTACTATAAAATGCCTACTAATTGGGTTTTATCCCTATAGTTATTACTTTTATCCAACAAAAAGTTTTAATTACCTGTATCAGAACGATTTTTTTTTTATTTCATAGGTTTGAATATTTTTAAGAAAATAAATTTAAACTATTTTATACCTATACTTTTTTATAATGGTATAGATATCTCAGTAGATGTAGATCTATATCTTAAAATGTAAAATTTGGTATGCTGTAAGTTATGGTTTGATGGAGACAACACAATACACATGCTGGTAGGTATAACGTTTTTCAAACCATAATAGATACATACATTTTTTTAGTCAAAATCATTTGGAATTAACTTAATGAACATTTATTGAAATGTTTTTTAAGATGTGGCATAACAGTGTACTTCCTATAGGCTCAATTACAAGCCTTCTACTTCAAGATAGGAGGTACCAGTCATTGATTCCGGAATATATAGGTATCAATGTATCATACAGAGGGCAGCTCCAGGGGAAGTTCCTAGGATCTAGGGGCCGAAGTCCGCTCCCAAGCCCGTATTTCTAAAAAATTGTATAGGTATTGTTAAAAACAAAATTCCAGAAAAAACATATTATAATATCGAAAGTTTTCTGAAAATGATGACTTAGGTCTTGGGCAGATACATGGTTGGGGGGGACCATGTCTCAGGAGTTGCCCCTGATATTATAATACAATGGGGTAGCTACTAAAAGTTATTATTTTAGATTTGGCCACAATATAGTCAATATAATGTATAATATAACATGATAATTTTTCCATCAGGGGGGACCCTCGGCCAACATAGGCCATAGGGTGTGTGGTGGTACGGTAGAGAGTTTTTGTACAGGTTGAGTAGGTTTTCTTTATGTCGGTAGGATTGTAACACTTGTTTGTGTATGTGTGGCAAGGATGTGTTGCTAAAAACCCGGGTGGTCACTGGTCACCCATCCGGGAACTAGTAACGTACTCCGGTACGTACTCTCAAAGCGCTCCGGCAGATTGAGCGTACGACCGAGCCCCACCAAGTCACAGTATAATAATATTATGTTAGCATTAATACAAGCAACTTATGTATAGTGACCCCAAATACTATAGAATCTATAATAGTAGTAACTATAGTAGGTATTAATTGTAACTAATAGTTGTTATACAGATGTAAAATGTCGAAAATAGGACGGAAGTTTTTGAGTTGACCGAGGTCTTCAAAGGTATGTCGAAAAAAAAAAGATAAGTGAGGGGGGGGCTGTATTATTATTTGTCCCCTATATTATTTGCTCCAATTAATGTCGGTAACCTTGTTATAGGTCAAATTGTGACGGATTGGTAACAGGGCTACAGTAGGCTGGGGTAGGAGTGTTTAGGCCGCAAGAGAGAAGTGTGTATTGTTATACAATAAAGTACGCACAGAAAAACAGATAAAACGATTTTTTTATTATCAATAAACAATATTACACTTCG